AAAAAAAAAAAAAAAAAAAAAAGAGAGAAAGGAAGTTATGGAAAAACTATGAATTTTGAGTATCTTTGGCTTTTCTGAAGTAATCTGCTAGTCAAATGATTTTAAGAACCGTTGTCGTTGTGACCTGAAAGAATGTTATATACTACTAATCACTGAGTTTTGGTTTTCTTTTATGTCCTGCCCAGGCTCCTGCTTACATTCGGGAGTGTGCCAGATTGCACTATTTGGGATCCAGAACTCAGGCATCCAAGGTAAGAATAGGATCTGCTCTTAACCCAAACAAGGAGAGTGTTAAGATTGGTGGAGTTTTAAAACAAAGGATGAAGTCAAAGTAAAAGCATGGAAAATAAGAAGTTTTTAGTGTTATAGCTCAAAATTATGTAGTTATTTTGTCATAATGAAGAAGACTAAGAAATAAGTTATGTGTTAGTATACAAATGTTCCACATTCAAGGTGTGGTAGCTTAGGCCTGTAATCCCAGTGACTCTGGAGGCTGAGATGGGAGGCTCGATTGAACCTAGGAGTTCAAGTCTGCAGTGAGCTGATTGTGTCACTGCACTCCAGCCTGGGTAGCACATTGAGACCCTGTCTCTTAAAAAAAAAAAAGCTCCCCACATACTATTTTTATCTGCTTTCAGAGGTTCTCCACTGATAGATGGTATCCTCTTCATAACAGTGATCACACAGACCTTGTGTTTAAAGTTTTTTTCATAAAGTCCTTCTGATGGAAATAATCTGTGACTAGAAAATGTGTTAAATATTTTATAGGAAAGAAAGGACAGTTTTATATAATTCATTCCTATTTTAGGTTCAGTAGTATGGTAAAACTCTATCAAATGGCTAAAAGATTTGAGACCACATGAGCTTAGAAAGATAGGGAAATATATAATGCTTATTAAGAAGATTAGATATGATAATTGTTATTTTTTTTGAGACAGGATCTTGCTCTGTTGTATAGGCTGGAGTGCAGTGGCATGATCTCAGCTCCCTGCAACCTCTGCCTACTGGGCTTAGTTGATCCTCTCACCTCAGCCTCCTGAGTAGCTGGGAGTACAGGCATGCACACCATGCCTGCTAATTTTTATATTTTTGATAGAGATAGGGTTTCACTGTGTTGCCTAGGCTGGTCTCAAACTCCTGGGCTCAAGTGATCTGGCTGCCTTAGCCTTCCAAAGTGCTGGGATTACAGGCATGAGCCACCACGTCTAGTCTAGATATGATTATTGAGTTTTAAAAGTGAGAACTTATGGCCTGGTCTGGTGGCTTATGCCAATAATCCTAGCGCTTTCAGAGGCTGAGGCAGGCGGATCACTTGAGCTCAGGTGTACGAGACCAGCCTGGGCAACATGTCTCTACCAAAAATACAGAAAGTTATCCAGGCGAGGTGGCACGCACCTGTAGTCTCTGCTACTCAGGAGGCTGAGGTGGGCGGATCACTTGAGCCCAAGAGGCAGAGGTTGCAGTGAGCCAAGATGGTGACACTGTACTCCAGCCTGGGTGACAGAGTGAGACTCCATCTCAAAAAAAATTTAAAAAGTGACAAGTAAGCATACGTTCCTTTCTTTCCTTTTCTAAGCCTTTTTTTTTTTTTTTTT